TAAAACAAAAACTTTAAGAATAAAAATGTTTACTTAGGTGTATGATTTTTTTAAATTGTAGCGTAACTTCTATCATATAGATGTATTAGTAATAAGATGTTACAGCAGACTGAGCGGCAGTCGCTGCTGCGTGCTCAGACAAGTTTATGCGTTGTCTCGTGCGATTTGTTTATAACGTAGTCTTGATTATTCTATTTACTCCTATAGTTTACTGACCCCGGTTTCCCCTATCTAACGTATTGGTGCACAATTTATATAATTGAAAAATGTATTTAAAATTCATATGGAAACGTAATTACTAATAATAACATCCACTTTGATTGTTACATAATAAATAAAGCATTCTTCATTTATTTTAGTAATTTTAAATGTTTCGAAGGTAGACGAGTTCATAAAACAAATTTTTTAATAACACACACACATTTAAATGTTTTATTAATTTCATGTTTATGGTATACACTACTGTCGAAAAGTTTCCAGATATGGAACTTAAAATTGTACAACATTCAGATCACCGTAAAAAATCATCACAGAGAAAGAAATAAAAAAGCATTTTAAAGTTTGAAAGTTGTACTTTAACGTGTTATTGGTCGTTTTTAAAAAAATTTTAATCTTTTTACAGGTTTGTATGTTAACATGGTTGTGTTGTTAAAATTATGTACACTTATCAGTTTTCAACTTGATAAAAGTTTAATACTTTTAAAAAACAGTACATACTTTATCTATAAAATGTTTAAAAAAAAATTTTTTGTAATTGTTCTTGATTGAATTACCTACGCGACATTGAAGCTAAATCTGCGTTGTTAAACAATCAATGGTGAAATTTGGAAAAATCATCATAAAAATTTAAAAATGATGAAAAGCATGTGAAAGTACGAATTTCGAGCTTCAAAATATTTCTTTATTTTTTTGCGATAGTATTTTACCGAATTTCAACATTGATTGTAAACTATGCAGATTTAGCTTCAATGTCGCGTAATTCAATTAAGAAAAATTGTAGGAAAATTTGTAAAAAAGCTTTGTAGGTAAAGCTATGCAGTTTTTTTAGAAGTATTGAACTTTTTGAAAATTGATTATTTTTTTACCGAGTTACGGTAATTTGAATATTGTGCAATTTTAAGTTCCATGTCCGGAAACTTTTCAACGATAGTGTATATTTCGATTGTTACATAATAAATGAGATGATACATTTTCATATTAATTATCAGTCAAGCAGACAATGGTTTTTCAATTTTTAACTATTAGAAACTTTTAATCTTTAAATTATCATTAATTAACTGAATGATAATTGAGATATATTAAATAAGTATATATTGTGCCATGAAATCCTTTCTCAAGAAAAGATAGTTCAATATCTCTCGTAACAGTATAATTTAGCACATGGATGTATTATATGTCATACTATTATCGATCGTTACGTTGATAACTTGAACGTAATTCCTATTAGCTTCATTTAGATTCAGTACGATATTACCTTCTGGCGTCACAATTTCATCAATTTTAATTTAATCAATTGTCCTCGGAAAATTTAGTTCTTAGAAGGTCAAAGAAGTCTAAAAGAAGTATCGGATCCGTGATTATTGTATTATTAAAAGAGCTATAATTAAATTTGTCAAGTTCAGTATGCTAAAATTGTTGCCTATAGAAAATAAATGTTATAATTAATCTTAATTTAAGATATAACAAACATTAAAATTATTTTTTTAACAACGTTATGCAGTATTTATCTATTGCAATGTTGATAAATCCAAGCAATGGAAACAGAAAATACTAATTAAGCACGCAATGAATAATCTTAAACTTGTTTACCTTATTACAGATATATTAAAATTCATGTTTTCAAATAAATTGTAGACTAGAAAAAACTGTACGATTGTATGCAACGCAGCCAAGGCCGATCTCCGGATTCGTAATGAAGCATAGTCATTTAATGACGATAAAAAACTCTTAAAATGAAAAGATGTACGATTCAGGCGAACGATTCAGACGTGATAATTCTCGTGTTTTCCAAGGATAAGTGTCAACCTTGCGGTCTACGATGACATCCATCTTGGTTCTGTATTTTTATCATGGTGAACAGCATCTTTTAGCAGTTCGATGCTGGAAGAAGCCATTATCTTGCGGCACGCATGATGCGACGCTAAGCGTTATCCATTTATGCAAAAACATCATCTTCGAATCAGATATTAGTCGACTGCTTACGAAGCCCCTCAACATTTCTTTGTACGCTTACATGTTTGTTTGCAAGAACATCCGGTATTTCATCATGCTCGCCCCGTACTATGATATACGTATATATATATATATATCTCAAACACAAGCCAATTTACCAGATGCGATTTTGTGTCTAAACAATTTGCGCTTTTGATGTCAATACGGTAGTAGCAGTGACCACGTTTACACGTGGTGTAAACAATACCCGCTATGACATCACTAGGGCAAACAAAATTATGCTGTAAAAATCCTTTTTTAAGCGCCTAAAATATGCTTTGTGAAATTGAAAAAAAATACTCTAAAGAAAGGAATACATGCATTTAAAAATTATTTTTTATCGCACAAATTTTCAAATTATTAATTAAGTTTTTTATTTATAATAACAAAGTAAAATGAATTTGTGATAAGTATCAGGCTGCTCCTCGTCCTGATGAAGTAAATACTCTAAAGAAAGGAATACATGCATTTAAAAATTATTTTTTATCGCACAAATTTTCAAATTATTAATTAAGTTTTTTATTTATAATAACAAAGTAAAATGAATTTGTGATAAGTATCAGGCTGCTCCTCGTCCTGATGAAGTGAACTGCAAGGTTCACGAAACGTTGGCATTCCAAGAATGGATCTAAACACGGAGAAAACCCGCGAAACGCAAGATTGCCACATTGATAAAATTTGTTCACATTTCAAAAAAATTTTATTAGTCTTGCGGAGCATTAAAATTAAACAAATACATATTATTTATTATAGTGACTCTAGAGAGAGAGAGACAGTTTTTGATGTTATGTATTGTATGACACAAAAATATAGAAGATTGAACGTAAAAGCGCGAAATCTTTTTCTCCTTGTGATTTCTCTGACATCACTGTACACCAATACATCGCAGCGTATGGGAATCATTTATCTAATCAATTCCTTTTTCAAAAATATAAAATACGTTGTAGCATATTTCTGATTGAGAAAAACTTATCTTAGAAATCCTATTTGTTGTTAGATCAGAAAAAAACTAATCAAACTTAAATTAGAAAATGATGTGAGAAATATACAATAAAAATAAATAAAATGTGTAAATATTGTGCATGTGTGGGCGAAATATGCGAAAATATGTTTTTATGTGTGAAATATGAAAAATATGCTGTAACATATAGGGCTCAAAATGCATAATTTCTTATGAAACAAATTTGTATTTAGTTAATTTTTTTATTAGTCAAATAAAAAGAAATATGCCTTATACATATTTTGGTTGTCTTAGTTATCACGATCAGTAGACAGTGGGCCTGTTCTTTTTGCCTGAACTTTTGCACTATAGTTCATCTTTTTTCTTCTTCTTTCCTTCTGAAGAGAAAAGGAAGAAAGATGAACTGGTGCAAAAGTTCAGTTAAAAAGAAAAGGCCTATAGTAAAACAGCAACGAAAAAGACGCGGAAGATCGTAAAAATATCTCTTTATACTTTTTCCGAAATTAAATTGTGGAATAGGAATCAAGGAATAGAAAATTGTGTACCAGAAAATTGCGATTTGGCTTAACCATCTCAACAACACTCTATGTTTCTCAACCCGCAAAACACGAACAATAATATTATTGCATCAATGTTATAATTTTTTACTCAACAATTTAATGTAACTGTTATATAACAGTATGTGCTATATGACATTTATATTGTCGAATGAGAAATCGTAATATTCATACGATGTTACTGTTAGTGTGCGGGAATGAATCTATGATAGATATAAATTTATCAAAGTGAAATGATAGATATGGGCGTTTAATTAAGTCTGAAAACTTTGAACGAGTGATAATATATATTTTCTTAAGTCATATTTTTGATAAAATGTTATCAGTAGCCATATTCACTTCAACATCATCTCTCTATATAAAGCAGATGAGAATTCGGTCAATGGACTAGAAACAATCCATATATAAATACTTATCGGTAGCCAAGATAAATATATGAAAAATATTTCCTCAGAGTATTTGTAAAATGTATATCTGAGTAAACATACAAATACATAATATTCATGCAACAGATAACTTTAGGTTATTAGGTGACTGATATAAAGATATATAGCTTCCCACTTTTCTTTATTATTGACTGCAACTAGTGATGTACAAGCATATACGACAATGACGCGTCGAATAAAATCTATAAAAGTAGTAATGAAGAATATGTGTGAAAAACGTATGTGTGTGTGTGTGTACGCGGATATAATTTATATACAATAGAAAAAGAATATATATATATATTTATATATATATATATATAATAAGCATACGCGATTTCTCTTAATTCACGATCTCATATTCGACGGTCGACGACCTGCAGTTCGCGTATGAAATCTAGCCATTTATAACGTGCAATTACTTAATAAAGCTGTTAAACGACATACAAAGTATGAGATAATTAGCGATGCAAGAACACTCAGTAGTAACGCGGAGCTCGGCAAATAAAATGGCATAGGCTCTTGGAACGAATGATTCAAGAACGTCTGTATTTTTCATCTCATCACTGTATATATAACAGGATTCTGTGTTTCTTGTTTTATGTATTTTTGCCTGAGCGAAAGTTTGGATTATATCATCAAAAATAATTTCACATTTTATAAAATGGTTTTTTCTTTACAGATAACATCGTCGCTATTTTTTTTTTCTAATTGATGTCATTCATGAGCGACATATTTATAATCGATTACGAAATCGCATACTATCTTCGTTTGACTACTTCTCGTTAGTTGGCTGACAAAATCGTTTTCTTGCCCACCACACAGCGGCCAGAGCGGCTGCTAAAAAACCTATACCAGCGACGATTCCCATAGAAATTGCTCTGTTGCGACGATAAGCGGGTACTTCCAGACTGACTCGCTCGCTGGTTGCAACATCGTCTATAAGTGACATTGCTGCCACTTCGAAAGTATAAAAACTTTCTTCCTCCAAAGTTTTTACTGAAATATCAATCATAAGGTATATTCAGTACTATCACCGCTCATTAAGAGGCTAAATTTAACGTGATTGATTGGATTTAGAAATAAGAATCAATCACATTTGACTGTTACCTAGCCGCTCTGTGAGCGATCGTAGTACTGAATGCACTCATAAATGTCAATTATCATTATTAACTTAAGTGTAATTGATAATTCTTATGCAAGAATGAAGAGTCATTCACCTAGATAATAAGTGTCTGTTGTTTCTGCTCTGCCATATAAATGTTCAGATGGTCCTCTATACCATCTCACAGTGTAAAGTCTAACTAGATTCTTGCCTAGATCGGGTGGTTCCCAAGTGACCAAGTAACCCTCAACCGTTGCTTGAACTCTCACGTTGCGCGGCGGCCCCATGATCTCAGTGTCTGCAACACAATCGTGTCGCAGCCTTGAAACATTCGATTAAATTATCAAATCATACTTGAGATACATGAGACCATCAAGAGAAATCTTATATACCTTACAGGGTTCTACGAGATTATCTTTTGTGAATAGGTAGAGTGAACTAAACTGAACCGAAAAGTTTTTATCATTTTGCAATTTTCGCAATAGTTAACGAGATATTAATTTCTGCAAGCAGGTACACACTTATTTAACGATTTTTATTAGAAATTAATATTTCGTTAACCAATGCGAAAGTTGCAAAATAATAAGTAACTTTTTAACTCACAAGTTTAGTCCGCTCCACCTGCTTACGAGAGGTGATCATAGATCTGAAACAGCTTATGTATAAACTCGTTAAGTTTCTTACCTTGTTGACTGCGATATTCCGACGCTGAGTTCTCATCGATGGAACCTAAAAATAGAAATTTGTTTGTCACGTATCGTGCTTAAACATAATCGAGGTGACAATTAATCTTACTCGGCTGAGTGAATATTCGAAGCGCCTTGCTAAACATTCCATCGCCGTGTTTATCCTGACTCAATATCATGAATTCATATTCTCGTCCTGAGTTGAGATTATTAACCGTTGCTTCTGTAATTTTTCTAGAAAGAATTTTCATGGTTCTCCATTCCGACGTATCCGTGGGTCTGTACCTACGCGAAAAAAAGCAAGTTTCACGCTACTTTCGAAAAGGGTGCTTCGCTGCTGTTAACGAAGTGTCATAAATAATTAATTATATTCATTGAAATCGATCAAGTAATGTTTAAACACAAATGAGAGAGAAAAATGCTATTTTTGGTCAAAGTAGGTCTTGGTGCTAGTACTATTTATATATAAATACAAATACAATATTAATTTTATAGATTGTGGTCGATTCGGTTTATCGAACTTGAAACATAATCACATGAACTAAAATATATAATAATCTCACACGATTATATTAATTGTTTGTCGATTTAATAGTAATGCTGGCTAGCATTTAAAAAATTTGTAAATAACTAACATGCCTTAATGGTCGAATTGGGAGAACCAGTATGGAATTCGGGAGATCAATAGGTCTATTCTATAACGACAATTCTTTTTAATGACAATTTTATTAGTTAGGGATGTTGTTGCGCAGATATTTTACATGGTGAAAAAGCTGTGCAACGACAGTATAATGATACTGAACTGTCGTTATAAGTTACAGAATAGGCCTACTGCCCCTGTATTCTGTAACTCGTTATGACAGTACGTGACGATATCGTTACATTTTGTTGTGCAGTTTTTTTTACCATATACAAAATCTGCGCAACGACAATATAGCGATATCGTTACTGTCACAACGAGTTACAGAATACAAGGGCTGGATTCGAATCCCGACTGAGGAACATTTTTCACAAAATAAGTTATTTACAAGTTTTTAGGATATTAGTTAACATTATTGTACAAATATAAATACTTATTAGTTCTACAGACTGTACACTGAATCGGCGTACAGTCTGTAGACCTGACAACTGTATTGTTCACATATGAATATTACTAAGCACCAAAATCTGCTTTAACCGGAAATAATATTTTTCCCTCTTATTTGTGTTTAGTTATACTTGTAAGATGCATTACCATACTGAATATTCCATTTTGGGTCTAACGTAACCAGGTATCCATGTCAAAGTGACGGCATTCTTACTACTATTAGCGCTCAAGTTATATGGCGCTCTAGGTGGTACATTTAGCACCATTAATTCAGTATCCGCGACAACCGTCGCTGCCTCATTGCTGGCTGCACATTGATATAATCCTCGATCATGTTCCTGAATCCTTTCTATTGTCAGATTACCGCCTATTATGACGGTTCTTTCAAGTGATAAAGGCGCTCCATCCTTTCGTAGAAAAAAATTGCTCATTTAATTACTAAATTAAATTTATTATATTATTAATTGATTGATACATAGGACATCAGGAGATACAGTACTTTATACCACATGATGGTTGGTCGATGTGAGTCGTCTCCATCTCTGGCATCGCAAGGAATTTCTAAGTTCTCGCCCAGCTTTCGCATGTATAGATGTTGCGGTGTTACCGTGAACATTGGTGGCCTTTGAACTATCTGTAATAACAGAATTGAATATTTCGAGCTATCGGGTTTGATTTTGAAAACATTGATCAATTCGCGTAACAACTGTTAATCGATTTTTTTTGTATTCTTCAATTGTAAATCACATAAACAAATAGCATGCTTTATCAAAAGGAAGTGTCTATCTCGTTCTAAAAATTGTGTGATTTACAATTGAAGAATGAAAGAACAATTAATACTTATCGCGGACTGGTCAATGTTAACGTGAATCGATCTCTTTTCTTTTTTTATATCGCTTTCTACATCAAGGAACGATGATGTTTACCACAGTAATCAAGGGGCTGGGCCCCTCGGTGCCTAGTTCATTGTAAGGGGTACAACTGTAACTTCCCGAGTGCGTCTCATCCACTTTACTAAAATAGAGAGATCCGTTCCTCCTATAGAAGACCCCTTGCACGTTGTAAGGATCAAAGAGAAATCCATCTTTCTCCCAACGGAGATTCGTTAGGGGTGGATTTGCCCTGAAGTGGCAGTCCAAGAGGGCTGGTTTTCCGTAGGGAAGGTAAACTTCTCGCGGTGCATAGATCACCTTCGCCTTATCTAAATCATAAGATTGATTATTAATCGATTAGAAATGAAAATTTAACGATATTGTGCGGCGAATACGTCGCTGTGCTTACATTGTACATTGAGAAAGGCCGATGCGCTTTGCTGATCTCCAGTCTCTCCAGTTACCATGCAAGTGTATTCCCCAAGGTCGCCCATGGCAGCTGATTTTATAGTCAATGTTCCATCAGTACCAATAGAAGCTCTTCTTCTGAGATCCTGTTGCGATAATAAATTCAAAAATTTCGTATCATAATACATTTTTAAAATTCGTCAAAAAATCTCGATAACATATTATGAAATCAGTGACTCAATAACTTATACCTGTATTTCTGGGATCGATACTCCTTCACGAAACCAGCTTACGATTGTACCTTCTCCCTTCGCGACACACTCGAACATAACCGTGTCGCCTTCCATGGCAGTTTTATTAACAGGTGGAATCGCAAGTAGAGTCTCACCTGCAACAGTTGTCGGAAACGGCGACATACCTAGGTTAAACGATTTAACGAGTCTGCCCAGATTCAGGTTAGTAAGCGGCAGCGGGTTATACCATATTTTTTAAAATTGTTGTATTAGCGATATTACGGCGCGAGGCAACCAATTAGTCAATTGCATTTCTTGACTTTTTGCATTTTCACGTTAAGGCAAATTTATTAGTATCTGTATGTTAATGGTATACCATAAGCTCAATATATACACATGACGCTTTTATATTCAGTGTAAATTAAATGTGTAAATTTGTCTCGCGAGGCGATATTTATAGAAATTGTGTAATGTTTGATTTATGGTACAACTTTAAATTTACTTGAGCAGGCTAATTTCTATTTATTTATATAATTAAGATAAATAAATTGCTATTCAAATGTTTCATTATCAATTTTTTTTTTATATTAAGTAGTAGAGTTTGAAAAAGTAAAACAGAATTACATTAGAGTTAATGAATACAATTTCTTTAATTGATATACACACATTTAAGTTTAGATGACACACACATATGTACAATTTTTATTTAATTCCAATTTAAATCTTTTATCAAAATTTTCATAAATAATTTAACTAAAATACATTTTACCAAGATTATTTTTTATTAATTATTATAATAATTATAATTAAAATAATTCAAAGATTTACTTTATTTGAATATTGCCATGTGCAATAAACACCACGAAGTCAAGTGAGAAAGAAGAAACAAGTAGGTTTCGAAATAGGCTCCCTGCCTTTAGAGTCATAAACGTCGGAGATGCTTAAATGAACGATTAAATTTGAAGACTCACATCCTACTTGCCAAAAAATTAGAGCGCGAATTTCACAGCTATGAGCTTGATTAACTTGTACATCGGGCTGACCTAGTTTAATATTCAATTTTGGTTAGTCGCTGTCAAAGTCTGTTAAAACATTCCGTTTTATTGCATTCTTGATAGAGATATTACTTTAATAATATTAATGAATTATTCATACCTATTATACATGCTGGATAGTTGCATTTTACACTCCAAAAGAGATTTGCCAATTAATTGAAATTATGCTAATTATGATAATTAGTCGATAAATACGTAATTTCTGATGTTTCATTTTTCCTGCAATCTTTAACTACATGCAGATATGAAGAATTATATAAGAGATCAGTTTACCGTCAATGGCGAGATGAAACCACGTGCCATTGTTTCTTGAATTCGGCGTTCGGTTCGGAAAGATTACCCTGCACTCGTACCAGCCTTGGTCGCTTTCGCGAATATTCGTAAGATTTATGCTACCCTGGCCATATCCGCGATGACCGGCATCGTCCAACAAATGTATACGACCCTTGTAACTGTTGTCCACCGTGACGTGTCCATCATACCAAGAGAACACTGTACGGGTCTAAAAAAGTTAGAATCAATGAATTATATATAAATCTATTTTCGGTATTAATAACGTTTTCGACCATAGAGGGAACCTATGTGGATTGGATTAATGATTGCATGCTATGGTAGAGCATGTGACGTCAACCAATAGTAGAGCATGTGACGTCATTAATTTAATCCCAGATCGATTCAAACCTATTACGATCGAAAATGCTATAAAATTCCTATTTTCGTAAATTGCACGAACACTCATAAATGACCTCATTAGGAAACAACATTACTTCATTTTTAAAGAATATCCGACTTTCTGAGCGACTGATTTTTACATACGACGGACGTAGGCGAACCTACGTCTTAAGAAAATTACATCGCGTAACTTGATAGCGACTACAGGCGATGTTAATTGGGTCATCCTTTCGCGGAACGAAAGACTCACGCGATTCAACGAAGAGCTTTAATATTAAATTCGGGTTTTATTTACGCAAGGTTGCGCACTAATAACGAGCACAGAGAAATGACCGAGGACACATTGTATCGTTCGCGACATCTTAATTAGCCCGTCGGTCAGTAACACCCACATTCATTAACGACGGGACGAAAATCCTCGAAAGGAGGATATGTCTCGTCTACGGGGGCGGGAATGGCGTTAATCGCTTCTAATCATCTGACAATGCATTAACAGTGACCCACTGGTAGGTCCCCTCAGACTGAACGTGACTAAATATAATGCAGCCTTGCGTCCCGTACTCCAATTACCACGACTAACAGACGAAGAGGGAAGGAGCACCTATTTTGCATACGCATCAGGGTCCAATCAGAGTAAGTTCCACTTGATTCTGCGATAGCCACGTGCAATTTGTTTCCGTCATACAGCCACGTCGAATGCGACATCCGCGAGCACATCTCGCATTCGGGCAAATTTATCTCTTTATCGTTTTACTCGCATTATCAGTGTCGATATCTCTTCTCTTGAAGGATTCCTTCGATATTGTATAAATTGTTAAACGTCGATCTATATCGCTACTCTCTTTTAACTAGACGAAGCTATTCTTTTAATCCTAATATGCGAGGTTATCTTACGATCTCTTTATTGCGATGCTCGATATCATCTCTTGCGTATTATGTGTCTCTTTGAAATCGAGAAGATGTAGAAATCCATATCCAGATAGATTGTCATGTATAGATGAAATATCAGATACATTTTTGAAGAAATCGAATAATCCACCCTACCTTGAATGTTTTTCTTCTGAGTTTTTGCCGGAAGACGACGAGTACGCGCAAGCACGTCCGTATGCGAATTAGCCGATTAACAACTTGCTTTAACGCTCTTTAATCGTCAATCAGTCAATCGTACGTCGTCGTGTTACCATTATTACATGCGGTATCTCATTATATACGTACATTATTAAAGTGGAACGCGTCGCCTCGATTTCTATACGAAATAAGTTTCCTTTTCAAAAAGACTTATTTATAAGAGTTTTCCTTTTTAAGAAACGTTACATTTTTCATACAATCTTTTTTTAAAAAATTGCATTTTCTCCTGCCTCAAAGTATATAGTTTTACATTCTCGGATAAAATCTGTTTTTCTAAAGTTCGTGCATCAGAAATCATATTGGATGTTGCGTGTCTGTACACTTTTACTATTACTTAATAAACACTTGCATAATAATTACGTGCACCTGTTTGATCCAAGGTAAAATCCAAAGCACGCGTTGAATGTAATTTCGATCATGCAACATGTAGTACTATTTTCCATTATTACAGTTTTCAGTGGCACCTATGTTACGAATTTATATAGTTTCTATTGGATTATATTATAGCAATTTGTAGGGTAACTCCGGCAAATACGCCGCGCTGGGATTTACGCCGCAGAAGTCAGAAAAATAGAAGGAGAGGGGGTAATTTTCCCGTAACTACTCCATTATATGCCTTTATGTTATATTAGTATTGTGTTATGATTTCAGCTTCTTACTGTTAATATTAATGAAATTATTGTGAGTTGAATCGATTTGTCACTGTAATAAGTAGCGCCATCATAAATTATAATCCACATAAAATGATTACCGTAGGTTGTGTAAAAAACTTAGTGGTTATTTCGTGATACATACGTGTAGAGGAATAAGTAAAGCATGTTGTATAGCAAAATACAAGTGCTTTGCTTTCGTATTCTTTGTTTAGTTTGTCTTGTATATCCTATCTATTTGGGATATACGGCATTTTTAGCGGACGGGATTTATCCCCAAAGCATACAAAGTGCACAAATTGAATTCAGTGCACTAAATGTAATAAACGCATTACATGTCATAACGCTTGTAATATATGTAGGAAGATTTTTATCTATTACTTCATATACATATTTATCATTCTTATTCCTTAATAAAACTTTATAAACACATTTTATAAGTTATTGTGTCATTTTACGTCTTATTTATATGCAATATTTATAGTGTGTAACAGACAATACAAGTTTTACTGATATAGTTCATTTACTTTAAATAATACTTAATAAATACATAGTAAATAATACTTAATAAATCAAGTTTTTGATAGGTGCGGCGTATATACCGGAGTTACCCTAAACTTGATAGTTATTGACGTTACGTCGGTAACATAAGAGAGAGGCAAGAAAATAAGAGTTTTACGATGATTAAAATATTTCTGAGTTCGCATACCTATTATATAAGTAAAAGATTACGAAAAGTTCCTCGTTATACTTACATCGCGATTCCATTGAAGAATATATGGAATCGGCGTCTCATGCGGGAAGTCAAGATCGCAATTAAACACCGCGTACTCTCCTACTCCGGCAGTATAATAATTCGGTTCTTTGTCCTCCTCCAGCATCAAGCTGTAGCAGCAGGCTGAAAAACCAGCGATATGAAATTACATATCGAAAAATCGAGATTGATTTTTATTGATCTACGCATTCCAGCGGCGTAACATTGTAGATAAATGCCTGTGAGAAGACGTCGCGTGTAAAGTGATATTACACATTGGGACTAATTTCCGGAGAGATTGCGTAATTTTCCGCCGGATTATGCGTGACGATCGAGCGCGTTAACAAAATGATACGTTGTTGTTATCTATTCTCCCCCGTGTACAAACAGGATCGATGACGACCGATTGTAACTATTCGAGTAAACAAAGTTTCTTTCAGTAGTTAAACTCTCGGTCGCAGTTTCGAATTAACCTGCCTTTGCCTCGTATTAAATGCCAATCAGCGAATTGTGCTGTCTGCCGTTACAGTCTGAAACTCTCGGTTCACGTCCCGTACAGCAATGTCCGTACACAAAATTAAAATTGCCTTTTCTTGTATTTTTGCTCCTACGTTTTAAGTAAAAGAAATGATCTCTTTAAAATATGCAATAAACTTACGGCTCTTCGAAATTGTTTACCTTCATAGCAGAATAAAACCGCCAATAGCTTGTAGAACTTCGCGGCGTGATTCATTGCGACTTCTTCTCTGCGTTCCGATCTTGTCTCACGTTTTTCACTTTATTTATTTATATTGCGTCAACGGACGTGAGGACGCGCTGGCGGAAACGCGCTGGCGATAGGTCACACTCCGCGACAACGATACCGGCACATCTATCATCACCTACATTCATCAGCCGCCACCTTTAATTTCAATCGGCACGCGTCACTCTCACGCCATAAATATACGTTTCAATCATCCTTTCCTTCGTTTCCCGAATCGGCACCAAGACAGCTTGAACCTTTCCACCGAATTTTGTACGCACTTTCCTAAAATGCCTATTTGAATTCTTTATCTCGG